CTGCCTGAGTTTCCACTGTTCATATACATACACACACCTACACACACCCAAGTACAACGTGTTGCTCGCTAATGAGAAGCAAAGAGTCTCTTCCCTCGCACCACTTCCCTCTCTGACAGCACCAAGCCAAAAGAGGATGGAGGATGCAGCAGTGACTGGGATCTTGCAAGAAAACAAGCTCAAAGATTTTTCTAAAGCCAAAGCATCTATGGCATGAGAAACACTCAAGGCTTAGCTCTACCTCAACCACCTTATCAGAACTTACAGCTCTCCTTGCAAGAAAACAAGCTCAAAGATTTCTCTAAAGCCAAAGCATCTGTGGCATGAGAAACACTCAAGGCTTAGCTGCACCTCAACCACCTTATCAGAACTTACAGCTCTTATCTTTACAATGCAGACTTCTCAGACTTTGTATGGACATTCACCATGGGTCCCAAGAGATCGGTTAAAATTTATGTTGGCTTTTTGCTCTATTAAGTAACCTAAATCTAGAAAAGTTGGTTGTTTTTTTTCTTTAAACTAGCTTCTTTTGCTTCCCTCCTTAATATGCTTAATGAACACATGGGTAATTCTCACAGCAAACACCAACACAGAGCAGACATTCCAGAAAGGAAAGAAAAATTGGCAAAGGAATAAAGAGTGTTATTCCATATGCCATTGCCAAAGGTTATATATGGTTATTCCTCATTTTGATCCTAAGTTTTTAATCTTATTGCAGATGCAGTTCTCAGGGGTGGCCAAACAAATTTTAGTTCAAAATGCCAACAATGTATAAAAGTGGCTACGAACTCCAAGGACTCTCTCTCATATACAGTTACATATATAATTTGTTGCAAATAACATGCAATGAAATCTGCATTTCTAAGCAATATGTATTCCTGCTTCACTCCTTTTTAACCTCAACTTTAAATATGGTTATACTCTCTGATTTGTAAAGACTTGGTATACAGCTTCTAAGATTAAAGAAAAAGAAAAATTCTACTTCAAAGAACATGTCAGACAAAAGGAGACCATAGGCTGACACAGGGCACCACTCTTCTCTCACTGACAGTTTGCACTTTTCATTTTAAAAAAAAAAAAAAAAGAAAGGAAAAAAACACCCTACAACACAGACAGAAGTTGTCCAGATAGTATGTGATTTAATCCCATGAACAGACTCTAGGCAATGGTATCCAGCCAGTCTGCTACTCTTTTTACAGGGGACTTTAAAAATTGGTATCTTTTTCCTCTTCACCCACTGAAGAGGAAATCTCTGCTAGCTCACCTCCCAATACCTATGTCACATTAAGAGACATTTTAAGAGGGAACAAATGCACACCCAGCTGTCTTCTGAGAAGAACCTCAAGAGTCCTTTAATGGAAGGATACCTGGAAGCTGTAGACTACCCACCACCTTGCAACCATGGGGAAAACAAAAGCTCTAAGTCAAGACAAGAAAGGTAAGAAAAGTCCTGCCAGTTTCAGGGGAAGCACTCACTGCTGTCAGGCCAGTATCAGGCCTTGGTCTCAGCCTCTGGAATGCAGCATCACAGTCTTAACTGCTTTTTCAGCATGAGATGTTACCTTTGAGTTTTATTCTCTTGACAGTGTTTCATGTCAAGCCTCAACCACCTGACACTACTTGTTTCCAAACAACAACAACAACAAAAGCTTAACAATCAAACTCTCCTTAATTATTGCTTGGACTTTTAAACTAACAAAAAACCCAAGCCAAAGAAATCAATAACAGTATTTTCACAGCTCATCTATTAACTACAATAATCTGTGTAGGGGAAAACAGAATCATCTGTTCTCTGTTCATTAGGTTGTTACTGTATGACTGCTCTAAACTACTAGACTGAAATCAACTACTTGTTTGAGCACAGGAACTTTCTCCACATCTCTATATTCACATTAATAAGACAGGAACTGGAGTGGGACTAGCTTTATATAAACTACATTAATTTTGTCAACTAAAAAGCAATGCATGGCATCAAATTCATGAGTAAATAGATGTTGCTAAGATTCTTCTATTAAATGGCTATCATTAGAGTAGAACTGGCATTTTAAAATCTATATTTATTCACCTACAGCTATTAAAAAAATTAAAAATAAAGAAACTGCTTAGACTGACATTTTTCAGTCTTGGTCTTAGTCCAGAAAAGACAACAAGTACATTCAGCTGTTTTAATTACAGAGGAGGGGCAGAATTAAGCATGATATTTACTTCTTAAAGCCCTCCAGAAAATATTAAGTCTTTAAAATCCACTCCTATCTTATGTGAGGGCTGTATTATAGATGCTATTGAAATAAATAAAAATATACTGCTAGCCCAAGGTTTTGCAGAAAGGAAGAAGATCCTTCATTCCTTCACTCCCCACCCTGAATCTGATCAAACTGTCAATTCAGGGTTTGGTTGGTTGGTTTTTTGGTTTTTTTTTTTAAGACACTCTATACAGGGACACAGCTTAAATCCTCTCCTACACTTGTTCTCATCTACCACTCATAGGGTTAAGAACAGTTTTCCAGTAGCAATTACACAGCCTGTCTGTCCACAGGAGCACAGAACATTTGGTCAGGTTTATCAAACTGTGATGCAGCTGCATTTGCTTGACATCTTCAGCTTAGTTTTGAGGTGACTGCTTCTCAGCATAAAATACTATGGCTGCTGTTATAAGCTGATGTTAAGGACATCATTTAATCTCCTTACACACCACAGTGGACATCTCAGCACCAAGAGAAATGAGAAGGAACAAAAAAAAAACACATCTGAGAAAGAATGATATGTAAGACAAACATCTTCCAACAAAACAAGCAATTAGAGACCCAGTATGTTAAATTACCTTTCCCTTATTTGAAATCTAATATCTAGGCATGTCAATAAACCTGTGGGCAGGAAACTGTATACATGAAAAAGATGTGGGTTTTTTCAGTTAGAAAACCAGTTTGAATATCATTCTTTGACTGAACATACAAATGAAACCAGAAGACATGCTGCTGGCTCAAGACAACTCAGAAACGGCTCACAAGAAAGAAGCAGTGACAACAGCTCTTTGCTTGAGGAACACAAAGTTAATCTGTTCACGAAGAGTCGTCTGGCACAATCAGCAATATATTCAGTAAAGCTTACATTCCTATGTTGAATGGGCAGTTCCATTTTCCTGGGAACATGGTCCCTGCCAAAATGCCAGCATACATGCTGCAGCATCTCTCCCACACCTGCCAAGTGAAAAGGGAGAATGGCTATGACTACACAAATTAACCAGCTATTCAGGTAAGTGGTCTGAATCTTTCAAACCAGTTTTTGTTCTTTCTCAAGAAAATGTCATTTGTTTACTTTGCCTTGCAGACAGTTTATGTGATGCCCAGGTCTACCTCACTAGAGAAGGGTACTAGCAAAACTTTTAACAAAAAACAGACAACAAGCCAAAGTACAATTCATTCAAAGACTGACTGTGTCTTCCTTTTCAAGTCTGCACTCAAAACTGTCCCAAGCTGTACAGCATCGTGACATACTCTGCTGTACTCATCTTGGAGCAGGGTAGTAAACATAAGCCATGTTTCCATTTCCATTCTACATGTTTGTAAAACAAAAAGACACTGTATCTAAGGACCATCAAAACCCTGATTAATAGTAAGATATCTTCATAGCCTTTTCCATCTAGTAAATACATATTAATTTTTGCTGTATTTACTTATATCCTTCTGTAACTGTATCAGGGTCTGCAGCACACAGTGCAGTATGGCACAGAAGTAAAAACGACTATGCGAACACAAGCCTTCCCAAAAGCTGCAGGCAAGGCTGCCTTTCTCAGGTCAGCTTGCTTATGACAACATCATTTTCAATGGCAATTCTGGCAATATGGTGACCCCTACCTCTATCTCAAGTCAAAAGCTATCTTTTTTTATGCCCA